TGGCAGCTCAAGAACGTTTTTTACAATTAGATTCCTCAGCTCACAGGACAATTCAAAGACAAGCTTAAGATAAGTGCTGTGAAACTCCTAATAAAATAAGGACTAAGTGCTACTAACCGTCCCACAAAAAAATAGCTTTTTTTTCCATAAACATGAAATACAACTTTTAAGCTTCACCTACACATAGTAGGTGCAACCTATTATGTCCTCAGTTAAGCCATAATCTGATGTTGTTGTTTTGGAGCCTGCATATTTGCCTTTTTGTTAGCACCGACGAGGAACTTTTTTTTTTAGTTTTTTTTTTTCTTAGATATTAACATATATCATATTTTAACTATTTACTCATGACAATAACGTTAAATTCGTTTGATCACTTAGCCTCTAGAAACTCTGGGATATTTTTCAGGGATATTTTATTTTCTCCTTTGAAAAGACATTAAAGCAAAAAGAAAAATTGTTATAGACATTTAATTGGATGTAAATGATTTCAGGGAGGAGCCTTTGTTAACCTACAGGCCATATACAGAGATCAACCAGAAATTCAAATCAGAACTTGAAAAAGCCCTTAACTCTGGGATTTGAGCTAAAAATTCAGCCATTATTTGATTTAAATATTGCAATAATTTCACACTGATAAAATAAAGCTATCGTTCTTTCTGAATGGAAACTTAAATATAGTATTTTCTTACAAAGCTCACTGTTCTGAGCCAATAACTTTCATTTCCTTTGCTGCAAAGAGCAGCTCTTTCACTGAAATTCTCCAGGGCTTAAATGATTCACACTTTGGGTTTTTCCCTCTGAATTTGAGCTTTAAGAGGTCAGGAAATTGGTTGCTTTTCCCATCAATAAGCAGCTGTAAAGTCAGGTGGTTAGGTAAGCAGGAAGTGGAGCTGTTCAAGGTAGGCATATAGAAACCCAAAAAGCCACCGTGCAAATTTCCAATGAATACGGCTCTGTTCATCATGTTTCAATATTAAATGTCAGTAGTGTTGGCTATTCAACACCCACAACCCAGAAGATCTTGTACACATCACCAAGATTTGCTGCATTTTCCAGAGGCACACACCTCCACTAGACACTCAAATCTCTCATTCCTCAAATACTGAGCTCTGTTGAATTTTTTTTCCCCAAAATGTTGCTACTTCTCTGCCATTGTCAGGAACGGAAAAAATTATCAGCCACAGTTTTCTGCTATTTTGGTAGTGGGTAGCTGAAAAGCTGGTTTAGCCAGCAGCCAGGAAACATTAAGCCACTTGCTTAAAAAGGGAAAAAAGTGCAAGTGCACCAATCTAAAATTCAATGACAGAAGAATTTGGTTGGGGGTACATTGCTGAAATAGTCAGAGTTTTGTAAGAGGGGGGAAGTGAACTGGGAAAGTAAAACTAAGTGCACTCAAGAATGAATAAAACCCTTCCTTTCCAATTTGCTTAATCGGATCACACAGGCACTTCATTCAACTTTCAAGTTTATTTTACCTTTACAAAAAGTCACAATCAGAAACCATTAAAAAGCCAAGAAGGGTCAATACAGAGCCAAGAATAAACATGGCCAACATAGAAGGAGCAGTAAAAAGTGTCTTTACTAGCCAGTCTTCAGACTTCTGAGTATATTAAATCCCACAGGGAAAATGCTTACAAGGTAGAGACAGTCTCACACTTTAGAAAAGTTACCCTTTGATACCCTTTACTCCAATGATTTAACTTTTCCTTTGCTGAATCCCCAGTTCACCTCAGTTAAGAATCTGCACATTTTCCAAAGCAATGGAGGAAAACTCTCTCTTTTAAGTGAATTTCATATAGGGATACCTATGTGAAAAATTATCAGCAACACAATAATTAACAGTAAGAGTATCAAAGAAGGCAAAAACACAGTGAAAGTACTAATTAAGTCTCACAATATTTTAGGGTTGAGAAGTATCACTGCTCCCATTCTATGTGAAGGGCAAGCTAAGGTATAGGGAAGTCAGTTGCAGTAAACACCAATAACAGAAGCTAGAAGATTAAAACTAGGACTACGGAGGAATACATCAGAATGAGTAAGAATAACCCTTGGCACTTCATTTTTCCTTACAATTATTTCACCCAGTTACAAGATTCTATAATGCACACACACACACAAAAAAAGCAAAAAGTAAAAAAGACAGGATAACTCCTCTTAACACAATGACTGAAGAAACACTCAGCAATAAAAGCATGTCTATGAATCATAAAATTAATCCTTCAGGTCTATTCAAGCTTGCCAAGACCTCCTCCAGAGAAAGCTTCAAGAAAGACCAACTGGAAAGAGCTTAGAGAGAGAGACTAAGAGGTCTAGAAGGCACAACCTGTGAAGTAGGATAAGAGCCTAGAGAAACCAAGGACAGGTGATAGTTTATGAATGCTTAAAAAAATGCTGGTGAATCAATTCTTCCTCATAATCATAATGGATAATATAAATTTTAACTAACAAAATCTCTCTCCTTCTCTGACTTGAAATCAGTCACTGGACTGGATTGCCTGGAGAGGTCATGGAGTCACCTCAGTGAAAGTCTAACAGGTAGGTCGTTATCCAGTCCCACCAAGCCTGCCTTGCAGCACAGCCACTATGTGATTAGGCTACCAAGGTAACCAGTCCCACTTCTTTGGATTCTCTGTTCAAGTGCTTTTGCAACACACATCTGTGGAGGCAGTAACTTCTGCTCTGCAGCTATTGTAATTTCTTACTTAAAACAGCATGTCATTCAGGCTTGGAATAATCCCCTCTGCATATTTAGTAAGGTGTTTAACCAAAATGTTGTTATTCTGTAAGGATTTAATTTAGAAGCCCTGTACTGTTTACCTTATCTGTAAAAAACCATGAGGAAGCTGATGTAATGGCCGTACTGTGAGGTATTTATAACCTTTCATAGAATCATAGAATCGTTTGTGTTGGAAAGGACCTTTAAAGGTCACCTAGTCCAACCCCCTGCAGTGAGCAGGGACATCTTCAACTAGACCAAGTTGCTCAGAGCCCCGTCCAACCCGACCTGGGATGTTGCCAGGGATGGGGCATCTACCACTTCTCTGGGTAACCTGGGCCAGGGTTTCACCACCCTCATTGTCAAAAATTTCTTCCTTATATCTAGGTAAAATCTACCCTCTTTTAGTTTAAAACCATCACCCCTTGTCCTGTCACAACAGGCCCTGCTATAAAAAGTCTGTCCTCGTCTTTCTTATAAGCCCCCTTTAAGTACTGGCAGGCTGCAATAAGGTCTCCCCAGAGCCTTCTCTTCTCCAGCCTGAACAACCCCATCTCCTTCAGCCTGTCCTCATAGGAGAGCTGTTCCATCCTTCTGAGCATTTTTGTGGCCTCCTCTGGACCCGCTCCAAGAGGTCCATGTCTTTCCTGTGAAGGCTCAGTCAAAACTCATTTTTGCCTGGAGCTGATTCAGTCATAAAAGTCTACTCCAAGCAGCTTTCACCAGAAGCCCAAACCAGAAGGCATCCAGAGCTTTGAATCTATTATTGCAGTCACATAACACAAAAATGATTACATAAAAAAAGGTATGCGAGTTTTAACTAGTTGAAGCCACAGGCTAGATTCTTATTTGAAATCAGTGTCAATTCACAGAAAGCAACCAACTCCAGCTGAAACCCTGTCACTTCAAATTCAGGCAAAACAATTAATTCTAGCCATGTTAGAGCTCTATGAAACTGGAGGAGCACTAATGTAACATTTTAAAAAAACCCTGCATGGTACAATTTTCAGTAAGGGGAACATCTTTCAGCTGAGGATCAAGTCACTGGATCTATGCTGGTACACACCAGCAGATGCTCTGGTTCTTCTTCTTTGTCTGGGGTGGGGAAAAAAAAGCATCAAGAACAAATGTTGGGCTTTTCTCTGTTTTCCACTGTCTTTTCCTACTCTATTAACTAGGTGAGAAGACAGCATTAAAACAAATGTCTTTCTCTAGACGGTCTCATTTGAACCTTTCAGAAGTCCCCCTTTTGTAATCCAGTATGCCAGATACCAAGGATTGCTGAGTTATAGAAGAGAAGGAGGATATATGTTACTCCTTTCTTCCCCTAGTTTCCCTGGAGGGGACGAGAGGATCACAGAACTTGCAAAGGAAAATCTCTGCAAGCACAAATGATGTGGCCATGGCAGTCTCACACTGATACCTCTGTGCACTGAGACTGGCCTACGCAACACGTTCCGTTGCGGTTGGAGAGGACAGTATTTCATGGGTTAAAAGTAATGTCCCTTTGCTGCATAACAAAGAGACACTACACATAGTAGGTGCAACTTATTATGTCCTCAGTTAAGCCATAATCTGATGTTGTCGTTTTGGAGCCTGCATATTTGCCTTTTTGTTAGCACCGACGAGGAACTTTTTTTTTAGGGTTTTTTTTTTAGATATTACGTATATCATATTTTAACTATTTACTCATGACAATAACGTTAAATTCGTTTGATCACTTAGCCTCTAGAAACTCTAAGCACTGTCTGCTTAGAGAAGAGTGGCAGATATGGGTGCTAGGCACAATGCCTTATTCCCTTAATATGAGCAGCAGGACACATCTTGGAAATACGGATAGCCTGTGAAAGCTGTGAGTGCCCTGTAGGTACTCCTGTATTTCCTGTAGCACTGAAGGGATTGATGGCGGGACGCTGGCCTTCTACGCACATATCAATCTGTGGGAGCACCACAGAGACGTGCAGAAGATGCAAAGGGGAATAATGACAAGAAGGGTCCCTGGTCCCAAACAAAGTTAAAAAGAGCGTCAATGAAAAAAAAAATCAACAACCCAGAAAACCTGCAATAATGCAATGCAGCTGAACGGAACGTCAGCCTGACTTGGCAGTTTTTCTGTTTCTAAATGCTAGGTTTGTTGAGAAGAAACAAAGTGAAACTGCCTCCAAAGCCATTCCTTATTGCTGTGTATAAATGATGCTTTATGCAACCAGCCCCTCCCTTCTTTTTTTTTGAAAAGCTGAGCTCTGCTCCCCCATCCTCACAGCACATTGCAATTTATCTGTTTTCATTGTAGATTCTGAGAGTGGAAATAGCAAGCCTTTTCTTCTGGTGTTTTGTCTCCATGTTCTTCTTCTGGAAACTGGCAGCTGTAAGTCTCTTCTCTATGGTGTGACAGCTGTGGAGCCGCAGACAGCCTAAGGAAGTTATGTTCCAGATCTGCAGTGAGAATAAGCAAAAGCACTGCACATACAAGAGGTCTTCACACATGTCAGTTAGCTGCGCGTTACCTTTACCAATGCAGCCTCTCTCTAAGGAAAGGGCAAAGATACAGGTGGTGCACCGCACATTAATGAAACCAAGTAACCCTCCCAAAATCACAGAGTAAATCTATATTTACTCTATTTATTCAACTTAATTTATTCCATTCTGACTCTGGATCAATGGAATGAAAAGCTACACAGAAACCCACAAAGGTGCACTTACCATCAGCTGTGTGGTATTTTTCTTTCTTCAGTGACCATATGCAGAAATGCAAGAAGAAGGTCAGCAAGATGAGAACAAATACAGCCACTGCAGTAAGGATGGCCAGGATGGTGGTGTATAGAGAGTCATTTGTAATAGGAGCTGCAATTAAATATATTTAATAAAGATTAAAAAACCACATGCCCAGATTATTGTTAAAGGAAAGGCAGTTCTTCCAAGGAAATTAAGAGATTAATTTCCTCTCTCTATGGAAAATAATTCTCCAAGGAAAAAAAAAAAACAAACAGTGTGGGTATTAGCAATAAAATGGAGATGCTCCAAGTCAAGGGTGCAATAGGTCACTGTCTCTGGTAAGAAGCATTCATGCAAAAGAACCACATGCCTAATCTTTTCATTCTTCAGTGTGTCTCTCTTGCAGCTATCCCTTGTTCTATCTACTCTGTTTTGGCTTTTGCTTTTTGGGGGGATTTGGCTTCAATGTTTCACTGAATAGCACTAGAGCAAGCCAAATTTGCACTTGCATCTGCCTCGGGGAAATTAAGAATAGCAGCTTTTTGCCATTTGTCTTAGCAGAATTAACAATTTCTCTGAATGAAGGGCCCAGACGTGAAAGGTGCCAATTCATTGTAGGGACAAGGGTGGAGAAAAAGGCAGGAGCAGTGCAGCTTGCTGTCTTCAAGATACTCAGTACCTGCAAAGCCTGTACCCACTTATTCCTATCTACTTTGATCCATGCTAAGACATGAGATTTCAATTCTGGGTGTTGTGGACTCAACCAATACTTGTAAAGGAACTGGATGACTAACTAAGCTATTGCCTCCCTAAGAATATCTAGCAAAACAGCAAGAGCATTTCAATGGAAAACTGATAATTTGCCAAATAAGTGTGCTCTACTTAAGGATGGTTGTTGGGTTTTTCTCTACCATTATAACTGACAGTGTTTTAATGGTGGAATCTTTGCCCAGGTCAACAATTCTACCTATATTAATATTGCAAGAAACACAACAGTAATTTTCAAAGCAACTCTTCATGATAGCAAACTCTGGAAGAGGACTATGCAGTAAGTCACCAACTGAAGAAGTATAGAGAAAAGTTACAGGCTCAAAGAAACAAATCATTGTGAGAAGGTACCTTGCTCCAAATCTTTAGCAGGGAAACCACATATTGCATTATGTGTACTGTTGCCTTGCTTGATTGTTAGAAACCCAGAACTTTCACAACTAAAAGAAGAATAAGAGTCACATTTAGAATGTCCCTAGCTTTCCCTTCATTCCTCTTCAGCCTTTCTCTTGGCTCCCTTCCTTCCTTCCACAACTCCTCTCCTATTTTTCTTTTTATAGCAGTGCAGGTAAAATTACGGCTGTTCCCCAACAAGACAATACTACATCACAACTGTTTATATGCACATTTTTTTTTTAGTCTCTTTGTTTCAAGTGATGTCATGTTTGGCATAATTTTGCACCAGTCTGAGCTGGACTTAGAAGTAGGTTGAATACACAGCAGTTTGTCTTAAGTTCTACTTTGAGACCAACTATTTATAAAGCCAAAGGAGAGAGAAATATCATATACTACTGAATTTAAAAACCTCGTCATTTAATCTCATTGGTGATCTCATCTTTGATTCAATTTTCTTTTCTAATTTAAGTATTAATCATTTGAGAATTTTATCATGCATATTTCCAAAGAAGGAAAGTATCTATAAATACATACTCAGTCCAGTTACGGCACCAGCCATTTTTAACATTAGAATAGGTTCCTATCCCACATGGTTTACATTTGAATGTGAAGTCTAAAATGCCTACAAGAAAAGAGAACATGAATTATTAGTGGTCAGTGCCTTTACCGAATGAAAGGGATACAACAGATTAGAGCACAATGCATTCCCTCTACACTGCTTCTGCATTATGAATCACCCCCCTGGAGAAACTCCTAAGCAGTTCTTGTCACCTTTCCATTTTGGGAAATGTATGGGTGGACCCCTTATGGAAGAGGTACAGAATCATCTGATCTGACAGCAGAAGATGTCAAGTTAAGAGGCAACACAGAGTGAGAGTCTTCTACTGACAATTCTAGCAGCTTGGAAGAAAAGTAATACTGCAAGTCTGAGCATGAAAGTGGAAGTCTCAAACTCAGAGTTATAAAATAGGGAAGCAGAGGCCACAGAATAAGTGTCATTTCTTTCTGCATCATGAACGCAGTTTATAAGTAGTGAAGGAAACTGTCTGCTCCTCAGCCAGACATTTATATTGAACTCAGCCTTTTAGAGTAATTTATGTTTCTTTAGTTACCAAGCTTAACCAGCTCCTCGCCCTCTGCACATTCAGGCAGTTTTTTGCAGTAGAGACATGAGCGATCAATACAGCTGTATCCCTGACGACATTTGCACTCATGGTCCTCAATATTTTGACATGTGCTGTTGTCTCCTGTCAAGAAGAAAGAAGTTAGACTTGCCTTTGTCACAGAGGCCAGAAATTAACTTAACCATCAGTCTTACTGGCTGATACAGGTGAAATAGTTCCTTACTGTGCTGTGGTGGAAAAAAATGGATACCAGAAACACGTCACTCCCATGCATGCTGGATAAAGTCGAGAGTACTCAAATTCAGCACCACTCAGATTTTTACACCATGGTTATCTGAGCACTGCATGACTTACCACTGTCACCCTTCTTTCTTATCTGGGATACCAGTGTAGGTCATGGTAGTCAGAAGTAAGGCAGCAGGTTTGCTTTACTACATGGTGCAGATTTAGATACTGTGGCGTAAGGAGGGCACTGCGAGCGCCCCAGAGAAACACTATACATTAACTAGCCATCCAGTCAGCTCTCAGGACACTGCCACAGCTCTTCTCAGGTAGGCTCAGCCATGTTAGAAGAGGGATGCCCGAAAGATCCTTGTCCAGTGAAGCTAGAGCTCCTTTTAGATGCCCCTCCTAACAACAGCAGCTGCTTCCTATACTCTTTTGGCAGAAGTGGGTCTAAATCCAAGCCATAAAATCAGCACCCTTCCTACCCTCTGTCCTTCTATTTCTAGAAGAGTTCTGTTGTGAAATTTGCTTGCGCTCCAAAAATATAATCTCTAATTCTGCGAGGCTCCTGGGCTCACGAAAGCAAAGGATTGATCATACATACTGATCCCATCAGTAAACAGTATCAAGCAGTCCTTCAGGCAGTTGGAGACCAGTTAGAGGAAAAGTGCTGTTCAACCAGGAAACTGTATAACCTTAAAGAAAAAAAATACAGAGGGAAATGCTGCCTAGTTCAATGACGTGCTTAAAAACCACAGTGAGTAGCAAAGATCAAGCAAAGATTATTTCCTGAGGTCGGTGATGTACAGGGCCACCAGGAAACTGCCCACATCTTCCTCTGCCCACTGGCCTCCAAAACTTAATGAAGTCTGGCAGCAAAAAAGAAACAGCTTGGCGATGCTTTTTTTCTGTGTATTACTAGCACGTGGATTTGATCCCACCAAGCAATGACTCTCCTACTTCATGCTGAATGATTTTATCTCAGTGGGTTTGGAAATTTCCAAAGACCAGTGGAAATACCCTGATGTCTCCACACTGCTGAGGACTCTATAGCTCTTCACCTGTTTATTGCTCATTCCCACAAATCCCACGTGTCCACCCATTCCTTCCACAAGGAACTCGGTGTCCTTGTTATCAGTTGAGGCAGGTATATTCAAGGTACTAACAGGCGGGAGGCTGACTCCTACCTAGGCACCAATGAAAGATATAACTTCTCAGCTAGTCCTGTTGCTAACCCGCAGGACACCACCACTACCACACCAGCTAGACAAGGCTTCCAGCAACCCTGGTTCCGGACAAAAGAAAAGGAAGGCACATTCCTTGCTGTAGGTCATACAAACAAGTTGCATATTCCCTACTGTTCAGCTCTGGCTACTGTTACGGACAGCACTAAATTAAGAAGAATAGTATGATTGTTCCTGGGACCCTAGAAGAGGCCATTAGAATCACCTGTTCTGTCCTTCAGCCTAACAGGCAAAGAAACATCACCCAGTAAGACCTGCAGCTGGCCTGTTCCACCTCTAATGTCTTACTTTGACTTAAAGTTACAGGCAAATAAGAATCCGTTACCAACTCACCACCATCCTAAGATCAGGCAAGGATAAAGGTTAGAATAGGCTGAAAGTAATGACCACCTGAGACCTTGTCTGTCCATTTACTTCTGGGACAGGCACAGGTCAGTGGAATGGAGGGACTGATGCTTCCTACTCTTTAGGACCACAGATCCTTCCTTGTGAGCAAGACCAATCCACAGAAACCCAGCTTTCCCTTTTCCACTAGAGAATAACAAGTATAAGCACGTAACAAATCTGAAACATGAGTCCACTCTGAAGTTTATACCTAAGGCACATTATGAATTTAGAGGGCAGGAGGGAAGGCCTTGCCTTTTTTTTTTTTTGCATATACGATTGCGCAAGATAGATTTACATACACATACACACACCCCCACCCGTTCCCTACACTTGATTACCCTGGCTGACATAAAACAATATTGACAAAAAGAAAGAAGACACACACATCATTCCCTTACCTGCGTTTAAGATGCATTTGGGGCAGCATTTCTTCTCATCTTTACTGATTATTCTCAGTTCACCATCCTGGCAAGGTGTTGCCAGAGCTTGCTGTGTCCATTGCCATAGGCACACCAGCAGCAAGCAAGCTCGAATCTTGAGGTGACCAACTTCACTTGTCTGTTCAGTCATGTCTTGAGCTATACAACCCAAAAGCACACTAGGGTGGGCTTGTATCAGGACTTTCCTGCAAAAGTACTCTT